AAAAAGACATCGATACGTACCGTAATGGCTTCTCGTTCCACATATACTACCATATTATTGTCTTATAACTCCATTTTATAAGTTTTGTGAGGTTTTGATTTTTTGAATTTGGAGATGTTTTGGAGGATTTAAGAAGATGAAAAAGATAGGGTTTAATTGGGTTGTCGCGGCAGTTACGAGCACGTACGGTGGCGTTCGGCGGCGGCGGCGTCGGCGGCGGCGGCGGCGGCGGCGGCAGCGGTCAGGGTTGGAGAGGAGAAGAAATGGTGGAGGTTTTTTTTTTTTAACAACAAAGGGTTTTTTTTCTTTTTTTTTTATTTGGTTTTTGAATAGGTAATTTCTAATAAAATTTGATATAATTGATATTTTGTATGAAAGGGTGTTTTTGTAATTTTCTTTTTATTTTGGTTTTAAAGTAAGAAAAAACTTATAAATATGTACTCAATTGTGGTTTTCAACTAGGTAGTATTCAACTAAGCAAAAATTAGTATTCAAAATAGTTGCCCCCTTCTCCTAAATGTACCTTAGTGAAGAAGAATGTCTTATCATACTTCTTTGAATGTCCTTGAATGTTCCATTCTTGAATTTTGTACCATTTTAAATTGCTTATGCAAGATTTAACCGTACGAGACTTTTACTTAAATTATAGGTCAAATTTTGAATTATGAAATAGACCAAGATTAATGTTTTCAAATGAACAAGCTAACATAATTTGTTCAAGAGAAAATCTAAATCCATCTAATGACGGTACCAAATGTCTATTTCATAATTCAAAAGAAAACCTAAGAGTCCTCATAGCCTCAATCCCAAATGTCTTACATGACGTTTATAGATGTATATCTTTCAACATCAATTAAATGTTGGTTATGTGAATAACCCTTTATATACACACTTACGTGAATAGTGTTACCCAGGATCTATTCACTAAATATGTCTAGGTACAAAGTCAAAAAATATTTTAGAACATATTAAAGTGGGAAACAATCATAATTACGCTAGCTATTCAACGTACCTGAGATGTAAACTGCAATTATAAATATTTATCTTAAGGCGTACACTAGTCAAATTAGCACTTAGTCTTTTCTCCCTTAATTATTTATTCTTCGTGTGTACGGTCAAAGTTTTATTCTTTATGTTTTACAACAAACCTTATATTGACCGTTCACGGAGAAAAATAAATTAAACCATATCCACTTTCAAGTCAGCGAAACCACACTAACTGAAGTGCTATAACTGAAAATGAGATTAGACTATTACTTAATGTGCTCATTTATGTTCCTTTTCTTTATACCTTATTTAAACAATAGATGTCAAAATCTAATTTGTTGCAACTTTATCGTTTTAAAGAAAACGTCTCCTTAGTGTCGTTAAGGAACCTTCTAGTACGTAGCCCCTAATTAAACCTTATGCCCCAAAAAAAACATTTAAAATAGATGCACCTAATGATCTTAAATTTTATAATTAGAACGATGATATACTCTAGGTTCTTCTATTGTTCTATCCAAAATAAAAATAAATTAAGATCTATGCGCCATAATAAATAATAAAAATATTTGTGCAGTTAAGCACAAAATGTTATAGGCGGGGCATGTGTAAGCAGATAAATAAATTAAGTAGAGAACGTAAATAAAATCAATATGCTCACATTATAATCCAAAGTTTGACTTTGAAAACTTTAACTAATTATGGAATACATCTCAAGATGCCTAGCACAACATTAATATCAAGCCGAGGGGACAATAATATTAACTGTAAGTGGCACTCTTGTTGTAGTAATCAAACACCGATAGTAAATCCTGTCAAATAATAAGTCCATCGAGGGATGCAACTATCATTCACATGGAGCCCAACAACCATCACATATTTATTACCACATATGCATATGTGGTTCTGCCAAATATCAACATACCGAGGGGTATAGTTAAATATTCGCATGAATTCACATACACACAATCATCTTGACAATCTCAATAAGCTAACCTACGCAGAGAGGTCACGAGGGTGGCTTCATGCTTCAATTAGTTCTTTTAAATGTCAGACAAACTTAATAACAAGTCATTAGATGTACCCAAAAAATTATTCAAAAATTTAAAGTCGTTGTTGAACGCTAAGGCTCTAAAGATATCACCTGAGCGCTAACAGGCTGTATCCAACTATAAGGTTGCCTCACTATATATTGTTTTCGAATCATACTCAGTAATATGGTTATTCATAAAAAATGAGTACGAATTGAAAACATCGAATCCATCTTTATTTTGAATTTGAGCTAAAGATAATGTGGGGCTCACAATTCAATCTTATTTAGATAGTGGCCAAAATAAATCTTAACCAATAAATCTAACTTTATATGGATTTGGACTATATCAGTAACTCAATTTAGACTTAAAACAAGGGTTTTGAGTCAAATGCCGAATGAGTCAAACCTTATTTGGTTAATTAATAACCGTATTCATATTTTGATTCGTTAATGTTTAAATTATACTTGGTCAGAAACGTATTGAATTAAAAAATTAATTCATATCCTTAATTCGACCCATTAATTAAAACATTTAAGCCTAATAAGGCATGAACTTTAAAATCTGAAAATTCCCCAAATTAGCATTAGAAAACCGAATTTGAAATTCAAAATGAATTTCACTTTATTGACCAAACAAAACCTTAAATGAATATAAAGAATTCACATATTAGTTCGGTCCCTCAAAATAATTGAAATGTTTTAAACGGCCCCAAAACCTTAAATCAACTTTTTATTCCTTAAAAATTGCCTTTGTCCCAAAACCAGAAAATCTTTCAACTTAAAGGACTGAATTGAAATTTTAAAAGAAAAGCTTTTGAGTGAAAAGGGACCTAAGATTCAGAAATACTTAATTTGAAAAATATATGACTGTTTTGGGAGAAACTTTAAAAGTGGGGACTGAAATGCAGTTTTCGAAAGCTTGAGGGCTGTAATACTGATTTTTCATTATTTCAAATTGACCCCGACCCAAAATCAGGAATAACTTAAATATGGGCCAAATTGAAATATTTGAAATTACAGAAACCCTAAATCTGGGGTTAAATTGTAATTTCCCAAAAGTCCATTCTACCAAATTTTCTTTCTTCAGACCCGCCGCCACCACCATGACTGCAACCTAAGCAACACCACCGCCGAAAACACACAACTCACAGTCTCTCTCCGTCGGCCAATAAAGATCCCTTATTAGCGAATCCCCGCCGCTAAGAATTGCGAAGGACAATGACTTGCGTTCGCTATATTGGCCGCCGGAAACGGGAAGAAGATGGTGGTGCGAGTCATGGTTGTCGCCGCGGAGAATCTTGCAACCGTGAATCACAGCCGAATGGCCGCCGTCTTCTCGTGGCTGAACTGTATTTTAGAGGACCTAAAATTTGCTGTGGTGGTGTTGGTATGGTGGTGGTGGAACCATAGGGGGGACTTATTTTAAATTATTGCAGCGGTGATACCGAAGGATGGCTCGGCCGGAAAACCAAATCAGCCGCCATTCATATACCGTTGCAAATTGGAATTTCAGACTTTTATCGTGAACCTTATTTCTTTAATCTTAATTCAATTCATGAGTACTGACTGAACCATAAAACTTATATCCAAAACGGAATCAATCAATAACAATAGAACAATTTCAAATAATTGAATTGTATATCAGATTTGGATTCGCTAAGGAGAGGAAAAATCAGATATGCACCACAGTAATTAAATCGTATTTCAGATTCAATAATAGCCCTAATTTCAGATTCAATGTCTGACCAAAACTTTTAGATCTTAATTCAGAATTACATAACACAATTATGGATTCATATTTCGACAACAATTTACATAATCAAATCCATAAAATCATAGCTCATATAAGACCTAAATTCCCGATGATTCAATACATGGTGGCTCTGATACCACTTGTTAGAATTATCGTACATACATACGAATCCCAAGAACCAACATGCTTGAATCAACGAGAATTAAACATAAACATAAACACGGAAGCGTACCTTACATCATGTAATCGAATCTTCGAATCTCCACCGGATTTGGGATAGGTCTTCCAAAGAATCCGCAGTTCCTTATTTTTCTCTCTAACGATGGATTTTAGAAGAGACGGAATGGTTGCGTTTCTTTGGGGACCACGACCCTTTATATAACTGTAGAGTCCAGTTATATTATAATTGTGATTCAGCCCCATCAATAAATCACAACTAAGCCCTAATTGTCTCTACACATTAGGCCCATAATTATAGTTTAATACCCGTAAGTCCAACCCAATAACCTTTATTAGATCACAATTAATTTGGACTTTCTTTAAAATAGCCATACACATTTACGTCACATATGTGAGCCCACATAATTATTGAAATAATCCCAACAAATCATTCTTGATTAACAAAAAAAGGGTGTTTTAAAAATAGAAATAATAATAAGCGTAATGAAATTTCTATTAGTTATTATATATTCCAACTTGTCGAGTATCAAGAAATAGAGACATACGGGTATAACTCAACTAGTTCTGGGGTGATAAGTTGATGCAAAATCCTAGGTCGAATACCGACAGTCATAATGTCAGAATTTCAACTCCAACCAGGATTGGTTACTTGTGCCCAGTCCGCGGGGCCAGGTTTTGCTTTTTATATGGTGCATTAAATAATATGACGCATATAATACAAGTTGGTACATAGAATACTAATAATTGTTGTTGGAAAAGTCAACTGCTTGAAAGCGCGGCAAATGATCAAACCCAGGTAGTTAGTTCAACACACTATCCAAACGTCATTAGCAGATTATATTCATTTGGTATGTATTCTTAAAACCACGTTTAATATTAAATATCCAACTTACTCCTATTAAATAGAAAAATAGATGGGAAAGGCATATAAAAAGTCTTGAATTCAAATTGTTGACCCAACGAATTAGTGATTTTTGGAATTTGAAATATCTCTCTTCTGAAATGCGGAATTTCTTTATTGGGTAGATAAGAGTGGAAATGCTCTTGATTTCAAGATTCTTCCCCATATTATTATTATTCTCTCCAAAGATACGCATAATCTCGCAAGAGGATACATTTAATATGGACCCGTTGGTAAGCACTTTGCACCTAGGACCTATTTGGTGATGGGTTCGAGACGATAAAGATGTGATAATCGACTATTACATACAATAATAAGTTACGTTCCAAATAATCTATCCTTCTAAGAAATCTATTTTATTCTATATTATTTGTTATTTTAAAATTTTAATTATTCATTAAATACATATAATTGATATGCTAGTTGAGCAATTAAGTAGAGAAAAGCACCTTCCCAAAAGAAAACCCCACACATGAAGTACGTGATAAGCACTTGCAATAATCAAAGCCATGATGGAACCATGTGCGGTCCTAAATTTTTGTTCTACACTTCACCTATATTTCATCAAATATGCCACCTTTGACCTTCTCTCTCTCTCTCTACTCTCTCTCTTGTGATAACCGCTGGAGTTACCAGTTGTTAAAGGCTGCTTCTTTTTTGTCTCTTTGGTGGTCTCTTTGTGCAGGCGATCAATACAATATTCACTCACAGCAAAGACCAAGTTTTACGTAAATTCGGAAATATTCGACTTTCTATCAAGAAAGCCATGAGAAATTTCATGGTCTTCTTACACCACTACTTTATGTGATTGGGACATGGACTGTTTATTTCCTTGCTATCATGGAAAGAAAACGCCGAACTTGGAAAGCGAAAAAGTTTCACCGTTGGTTCTTGAGGAAGCAAAAGAAGGCCGATTCGTTTCGACTAAGTGATAATTCAGGCACAGTACAATCACTAAATGATATTTACTATTGGATATTATACTCTGCAATTCTAGCACATGATTTTAACTGTATTTTCAAACGCAGATGTGAGCGAAGATGAGGATGATTTCACGGATCAATTATCACTTCAGTCGTCGGAGATGAATCCGTGCAACACGAACGATGAATTGAGGTATGTTTTTCAAACCACAACAAAAAGAAAGGCTTTTACATGATGAGGTGGATTATTGTTTTATTGAGGATGGGAGTTTGTTTTGTACGTTCAGAATTTTCGTGGGTACATGGAATGTGGCGGGAAGGTCTCCTGTGGGGAGTTTGGCTGTAGATTTGGACGAATGGCTGAATCTCAAAGATGCAGCTGATATCTATGTTCTTGGGTGGGTTATCCTAAATTCAAAACGGCCAACAACCTTAAAAAAAAATACTCCAATATATTTGTTTTCTCAAAATTTCACCCTGCAGATTTCAAGAAATTGTCCCATTAAAGGCTGCAACAGTAATTGGAGCAGAGGATCCAACAGAAGCTACAAACTGGAATGTACTAATAGGGAAAACGCTGAACGACAAATACGGATGTCCATCGTTAACACCTATGGTACATCCCATCCCTAATGAGAATTATCAATATAACGAAAATCCCAACTCGGACCGGCACCAGAATCAGTCAAGTAGGTACAAATTAATGGCAAGCAAGAAAATGGTCGGTGTTTTTCTTAGTGTATGGATCAAAAGGGAATTGCTCAACAAGTACGATATATCGGGTGTTAAAGTCTGTTCGGTGGCTTGTGGAATAATGGGTTATTTGGGAAATAAAGGATCGGTTTCCGTGAGTATGTCTATTGGAGGAACTAGTTTTTGCTTCATAGCTGCGCATTTAGCATCTGGTGAGAAGAAAGGCGACGAAGGAAGAAGGAATCACCAAGTCTCGGAAATTTTCAGGAGAACCTCTTTCCCGAGGCTCCCGGAGGATGGAGACAGAGTTCATCCACTTACCATCTTAGGACATGAGTAAGTAGTTCACCTTCAATATGAATGAATCAATATCACAAGGCTAAATTTATCTATTTACGAAAATAGATGTATAGAATCTAATTGATGTATATGATGAGGTAATTCATCTCTTATGGTAGGATATGTTCTTTTGTAGAACAGTCGGATATTCTGGTTTGGGGATCTGAACTACAGATTATACCTAGAAGACAAGTCAGCAAGGCAGTTGATAAAAGAGCAAGATTGGAGTGGATTGCAGAAGTTTGATCAGTTGGGGAGGGAACTAGAAAGTGGCGGTGTATTCCAGGGTTGGAAAGAGGGGAATATCGAATTTGCACCTACTTACAAATACTCTTCCTATAACTGCAACAGGTATTCGGGTGGAATTCCAAGTAGAGCAGGAGAGAAGCAAAGAACTCCAGCATGGTAAATAATGATTTTTTTTTGTACTTTAACCGAAAGAATTTTCTCGCTTTCTTACGTGTAATACTCGGAACTTTTATTTGTGTTTCGCAACTACAGGTGTGATAGGATACTGTGGTATGGTAAAGGAGTGAGACAACTTTCCTATTTCCGAAGTGAAAGCAAGTTCTCTGATCATAGGCCTGTGTCAGCTCTTTTCTCTACTCCGATTGGAGTAAAACATGAAAATGCAGGGTGTCCCACAACCCCAACCACTTTAGTCACCAAAACTCCTAGAAAAATTGTAAGCCACTTAGCGTAACGCAAAACTGTCTCTAAGAAAAGATGAATATACCTGAACAAATTTCCTACATTCGAGTTCAATAGATCAATCTTAATTTTGTTATGTAAATTCCAGCAAAGAAAAGAACCATCTAGTGAAGAGGCTATATCCACATTGCGGTCGTTGATTGTGAGAGATATAGAAGATTAGAAAGATTAACCAACAAATATGAAGGCTTGTGGACCTGATAGATGAAGAATGACGCAACTATGTCTACCAACTGTGTTGATAAATCTTCATATACCCCCAGCCCGTTCCATCAAACGAAAGTTAAATTGTGTATAGGATGAGGAAAAAGAAAACGGGAAAAGGTCATATGCATGTTGAAAGAAAATTGTAATAGTTGCCTAATGTCGGGTTTTGATATAAGAAAACGGAAACTATTTTGATTTATACGAGGTCAGGTAGGAACTCCACCACATCCATTATCCATCAAAACATCAAACTGAGAAAGAATTTCAAATACATGCAGGAAATTTTAATTCTCACCTTTGCCATATTCTGTAGAACCCTAGATTGACATTTAATAACCATGGTACTATAAGAAGTTAGAGACAGGAATCTGATCAAATTACCTCAAAGATGTTAGTTTCCATCACTTATCTGGAGAATTTGACCAAGTTCCTCTGAATTATCTTGATGACAGCGGGGACACGAAAATCTCTCCTGCAACTCATCTCCAAGAGCAGCACACTTCTCTTCCAGTTCAGACATCTGCGTGTTTCCAGTTAAGGCAAAAGAGAAAGGAAAAAAATGAAGGAATATAAGATAGTTCATGCTAATACAGAATTATTCAGCGTAGAAAGAGAAACTGTCCTAATTCAGCAATCATGATATTGCAAAACAACTGACAAAACCCAAAGGATATCTACTTAACTCCTGCTGCTGCGTGTATTCTTTCATTACTGACTCCAATAGCTGTGCTTTCTTTTCCAAATTACTAAGCTCTTGTTGGACCTGTGACAAATCCAGAAATTTGTTTTGTTTACAAATATGAAGTTAACGATTTACATACTTACAGAAGCATTACATGCATACAAAAGTTTTTTATTAGATATATCTCATTATCTAATCAGGCATCACAGTTGGTAATCTGAAAACATTCTACCGGAGTTGTTTCAAGTATCAAGATGGAATCCTTACCTGATCATGAATCACTTGTTCAGCTTTATATTGTTCTTCCTCCTGGTTAGTATGCATGACTATTTGAGCAATTTTGTTCTCTAGACCAACTTTGTCTTGTTGAACATCCTGATCGTTCACAATTAAGGAGCCTGCGTTTGGATGAGCCGATAATTAGTTTTTAATACCAAATAATAGCTGTATAAGATGAAGCTACGTAAGCCATTAAAGCAGTTATAATAGACTTTCCATTCATAAACCAAAATCCAGGATCATCTTCCATAAATAAATTACTAATACTCAAATGGTCTCCTAAAATTTTGAGTTGACGTAATCAAAGTATAAAAATGAAATGCCTCTTAGCTCGCGTGCACTTTTCCTGCATGCATAACACATACCAAAGTTGGAAGTTGCTTCAGAGCAATTATCTGCATTGACAGTGGAGGGCACAAACTCTTGAATTTTCCTGTGAGCCAGAAAAATCAACAAAAAGGATTTACAATTTTTTCAATAGGCTACACCAAATATAAATTAGAAACGGCAACTAGGTTATTTGTTCTGCCAAATCCAGACATTATGTATAATGGCAACCAATCCATGTCTACACTATACTATAGTACTTGATATAACAGAGCACATGATAAAACTGACCGTAACGAAAATAAAATTTCATGTAAACACAATCCTCGATTTTTGCAAACAGGACTTACCTAATCTGTGAATTTAGCTCGAGCATTTTTGCAATAAATCCATCTCTGCCAAGAAAAAAAGGGTAAATGTATACATTAAACCCAATATCGATATAACCCTTTACAACTGAAACAAATTTCAATAAATTAACCAAAACATATATAAATCAATACCGTGTGAATTTTTCTTCACTCTTCACACGTGGAAGCATATTTCATCAAAAGAAAAGGTAACACAAACACATGAACAGAACATTTATCAGTCCACCTGAGTTGCATATGAAACGAACAATTGTTGAATCAAAAACAAAACAGCAGAATACACCTTGAGAGCCGCCATTTCAGATCCAAGTTTTGATATCTCGTTGTTAGTGAGAGCAACCCTCGCCTAGAACAAATATCAAGCAATAAAGCTAAATTAAAAGAAAAATCATCAGGATTTAATGGATTAGTTTCAGCGCAATTATTTTCCCCAAACATTCACTGAGAAATAAGACAAGCACCCTAATAGATACATCTCCGGCCAAACGCGATACAAAAATTCCTTGAAAAACGCACGAGCGTAATATCAGCGAAAATACAGAATCGAGAAAATTGAACCTCTAGGGCTTGAATTGAAGCGTCAATCATGGATAATTCAACTTCGTAGCCTTTGAGATCTTGCTCGATCGTCTCCTTATCACGCTTTGCCTCTTCCAGCTCCTTATTTAAAACGTCGAGCTCAGACGTTAGATCTTCGATTCGTTTCTTCTGATTCACAATTCTCCGTTCTACAGAGTATTTTCACCCAAAATTTGTGAATAATTTGCTAAAAAAAATTAGGTTGTAAGGAGATATGAATCAGCACCGCAAATGCAAGTTGATTAGGTTTTTACCTCCTTGTGATTTTTCAGTACTGAAGTCGCGAATTAGAGTTAGGAGTTGCCTCTGCGAATCGCTTCCCGCCATTAAACTCTAGAGAGAGAGAGAGAGAATTGTTTCGGAAAAATTTGAATGGTGAAAAGAGAGGGCGCCACGCATCGAGCAAAAATCCTGCATTTTAAAGGGCTGGTTTCTGAATCCTGACCGTACATTTTCAGTGATCAATTCAAATTTTGCAAAATGAACGGTGATTAATGGATCTTATCAGTGGTTTAATTGTGCATAATTTGAACACTGAAAATGTACGGTCAAGATTCAGATTAGTAACGGCCCAATTTGAATCAATTAATTGTCCACATTTAAATATTACGAAGCCCAAACCATATTGGACCATAGAGAAACTAATTTCTGGACCATTCTTTTTTCTTTTCATTTTTCCTCTTATTTTATTTTTATAATTCGAAAAGTAAAATTGAATTGGTTAGATATTTTATGGGGAGAGTGATTAATTGTAATACATGATGAAATCAGCACTAAATTAGTGTAAAGAAAGACCACTTTATTATGTCGTTAGACAGTGAATCTTTTTATAGATTTGATTTGATTTGATTAAATTGATTCAAGATTGAAGAAGCACAAGGTACAATATATAAACCATTGTGGAATTCAAACTACAGAAGCCTCGTCACTTACTTTGATGATAAATGATTATTATTATGAATAATTGTACTCTGTCATAATTACACAATTAACATTATAGTTTATGGTAATAAACAAAAATTAGTATATTAATCATCCTACTATTAGATTATATATATATATATATATATATATATATATACACACACACACACACATAAATATTCTTGTAAATAATAATATGATCAATTATATATAAGTAATTTGTAACAAGTTTACATGATCATGTGTTGAGATAGAACTTTAAAGAGTCCAATATATGTTATTTTAATTTACATTGATATTGTCACACATATTTAATTATTTATTTTGTGCTAATAATTATATATCAAATGAGTCATAAACTGCGAAAAGAATGGTGGCATATATCATTTTCAATATATCAGCATCAAGCATGGTCATAGTTTTCATAATAATAATAATCATCATCATCGTCATCGCGAGAGTTACCTAACAAATGGTTGAATTGGACGTGCAATATTATGGAATTTTAAGACAAGTTATATACGATCAAGCTCATCACAATCCACGTCAAAACCCTAGAAGTACTCCATTAATTAAGAAACATAATTAATAATTATGTTACGTTTTCTTTTTCATTTTTTTCTTCTCTTTACCTTGTCGATGGAATGCCAACGTTGTCACATTCCATGAATACACTAAATGTGACATTAAGAATTCAACAATTTGAAATATTGAGTACGATTATTCACCAATGACGATATAATAGTAAGTACTATAATCTTATATATATATATATATATATATATATATATATATATATATATATATATATGTGTGTGTGTGTGTAAAGCAAAAATCCATGAACAATACACATTTGAGAAAGAAACGTTAGGGCAATTTAAAAAACCCTAATGACATCTTATATAGGGGTGTAAATGAGACGAGCCGGCTCGCGAGCTTTCGGAGCTTGCTCGAAAAAAGCTCGTACTCGAGCTCGAGCTCACGAGCCCGAGCTTTTTGACGAGTCGAGCTCGAGCTTTATTTCAGTTGTTCGACAGCTCGCGAGTCGGCTCGCGAGCTTTACCTTTTTCCTATATTTTTTTAATACATATTAATAATATATAATAATAGATATTATTAATAAAAAATAAAAAAGAATAATATTACTTTTCTAATTTAAAAAAAATTAATAAGACATATATAGTATCAGACTATTGCTAAGACATTAACATTCGACTAAAAAAGTAGATTTACTTTATTAGTTAGTTTTAATCTTGTAATTTGTTATTTGATTAAAGAAAAAAAAAATGAAATTAATTAAAGAAAAATTTGATTATACCGAGCTCGAGCTCGAGCTCCTTAGAAACAAAAGCAAAACTATAGGTTCGTCGAGCTCGAGCTCGAGCTCGAGCCTGGTATAGTTGTAGCGAGCTCAAGCTCGAGCTCAGAAAATAAGGCGAGCTCGGCTCGTTTACACCCCTAATCTTATATCTTATATATAAAAGAAAGAAACGTTACGGCAATTTAAGAAACCCTAATAACCTTTTATATATAAAAGAAAGAAACGCTGGCCTGGGCAACCCTAAAAAATCCTAATGTTATTCTGTAATTATTTATTTTTAATATTTTTTCTCTACTAATTTCTAATTATATTTTTTAACAATTATCAATCTCCGAATTTTCATCAATATATCTCAAATCTTAAGAGATGAAGATAGAAATACGATTTCTTTTTTTTTTTTTTTTTTTTGATGAATAGAAATACGATTTCTTAAATCTTAATCTATATATTTGGATTATAAATCTTAATATGTCAGATTTAAAAAACCCAATGTTATATAAAATATGAATAATACTACATTATTAAATTTTACTATATTAGTGTACGGTATTATCTTATTATATATGTATTAAATTGATTATTTTTTTCACTTTTGAAATAATATCCCGTGCATCACACGGGGAAAAAATGCTAGTATATATAAAAGAAAGAAGCGTTTGGTAACACTTATGTCATTAATTTTTCAAGTTCGTATATTTTTGACGTGTTTACGCTTTAACCCCTGATCACGGAAAAAAGTTTCGACGAGACATGTGTGAATGAATGGTGATGGATATTATAAGCTTTGCCACTTAGCTACTTATCACTGTACATTTGGACCTTCGCATCTTACTTACACATCAACTTTTATGACAATACACATACTATTACAGTATTACTATATATACGACTTTAATTTAAATTAATGTCGGCTCACTACTTATTCAGTTATTCTTAATAATCTTCCTACCTTTCGTCAAATCTTACACCTGATCAGTTGAAAGAATAACACTAATAATATATGTATGTTGGCTTCAATATATTAATTAAGAGTGGATATATAATTCAGTAATTAATTAAATAATATGTATTTAAATGAATTAGGCAAAAACTTATGATATATATATATATATATATATATATATATATATATATATATATATTGATGACCACTTTTGCATATAGTGCCATTAAAAGTTTGTCGCTTTCATTTGCTCTTAGGAGAGATAGAAAGTGTGATACTTCTTTATCTACTTTTCCATGGATATAATCTTGCATCACTTAAGTAATTTTTACATGCAAACATATAATTTTATTTATATATTTTATATTTTGAGGTTTTTTAATTAATTGTATATATCTAGCAAATAGGAGGAATCGCATTGTATTTATTATTCATTAAAATCGAACAAAATTTAGTCGATGCTACATCTGATGAATTTTATTATAAAAAAAAAAAATATTACTCGATCGGCAAAGAATGAAATTTATTAGCTAGAATTTAGTGGTGGGGAAGGGATTGAAGAAAAAATTCCCTCATCTGAAATAATAGTGTTTCCCACTCTCTTTTATTTGAAGGTCATAAGAACAATACTGCACACAATTGTTACGCAATCCATCGCAATTATTATTATTGTTGTTGTTGTGAAATCAAATGCGGAAACAAGTGGGGATTGATGCAAAATAATTAGGTTACAATTAAGCGCGACAATTATGTGAAACTCGAAGAAAAACGACCTTTCATCTTTCGATTAACTTTAATAAAAGAATTATATAGGCCCGATTGCGTGGTTAAGAATTGATGAGTGTTTTTTTTTCTTTTTAGAAATAAAATAGGAATTGACTAAGTAAATAATGGTTTCCAGCTTAGAGTATCAACTAAATAATAGTGAGGTACTTAGGTACACAACTTAAAGAATAAAGATGAAGATTATATATTGATTACTATCTTGAAAAATTAAATCTTGACCCAGAAAAATCTCTTTAGTGCAATTCCGTATGTGAAAACTCTTAAAACTGTACAGAAATAATTTAGTGCTCTGGTGGTGGAATTTCTGTATAAAAAAATTAAAAAAAAAATATTGGAAAAAGAATAATAACAACAATATTTATTTATTTATTTCTAATTAATTGTGTTTATATAGAGGTTCAGAAAAATAAATAAGTCCAAAGCTGAGAAACTGACAAAAAACATGACGAATAAGGATGAGACACGTGTCAGAATGATACAGGCCCTGTCTGCTGGGGCCGCAATTGTTGCCGGGCCATGGGTCTGGTTCCCGAAGCGGATTAAATTCCACGACCCACGAGGCTGATGGATATATGGCCCACCACAGCACGACTTCTACACTTAAACACGCTTTTTAGTATAAGTTCAGTGAATAGCAACTTCCAAGAACACAAATATTAAATTCACGTTTCTTTCATATTTCATATTTTGTTTTACTTGTCATCATTTATTAGAGCGGATAATTTGGTTAAGTTAATATTTTTTTAAATTAATAAAATTTAAATATTTGATGTTTTAGGAAATATCTCCAATTTCTTGTTGAAAAAACAAATTTAATTCAATTCAATCCGAAGGCAAGCCCATATAAATCTACATGGTACCAAACTAGGACGAGAGTTTATGAGATTTTACACTTGATGAAACAATTGGGTGATTATGCACCATAGATCTGTTTAATATGTACAAATAATTATTCGCTAAACACACATACACATGGGTGTGTGTTATTATGTGTAGTCTGTAGATCAATGTTGCAGAATTACTCGATATATTTTATTGTGTGTATAGCATCTAAAAAGATAGCATATGATCCTGGAAACCCTCCACCATACGTGCAGCCTAGTTTTCTGTAAGCTAATTAAAGTAGGTATTTGTTTCCCAAAGCAAGCAAATTATATTTTGGTTTAATATATTAATTTATTTTGTCATAGTAATATAAATAAAAAAGAAATTAGTAGATATTGTAAATTTTTGCAGCAGAAAAGTCCACTTTTGAAGCATAACGTAAGAGAATACATCAGCATCTTCAAATTGCATGCGCATCAATTCATCGTCTTGGCTTCAATGATTACAATCTTATTTGACAGAAATATTAATAATTATTCAATAATTATTGTAACATATTCAATGAACTATATTTTTCTTCTTTTTTTTTTTTAAGATATAAATTGGAAAAGAATGATTTTACGGTCGTAAGATAATATTTTTAATCCGAGCACACATGCTTAACGATATCGTGTTCAACGATATTTTCTTTTTTATTTTTTATTTTTATTTTAAGGGAAAATGAAAATTATTAGAAAAAAAAATTTGAAATTAATCACATTTTGGTGCAGCTTACCTACTTAATTAGTAGAAAACTAGGGTTTTTAAGTTAATTAATAAGCTAACAAACTTTGTATCTAGTCGTATCTTATACAAATTGAGTATTTATATATGCCTAGATATATCATGCATTAAGGGCTTATTTGTCATAATTATAAAAAGAGAATTCTTTTATTAAAAGAAGTTGCAATTAAGTAGGAAAATAAAGTAAAAAATTATATAATTAGTAAGAACAAGTTAAGTACTAATTATAACAGAATTCAAAATCATAAACAACAAAATTAGTAGTCAAGACGTATAATAATTTGCAAATCATACGAGAGACGTAAACCACACTATGCTAACCATGTATAACAAACTCTATCTAGCACTTGTTGACAAAAGGGTTCGAACATGATCAGTTGACACAAACTCGCTTGCTCTGGTCGTTAGACCGTCCTTGCAGGACTCGAAGGGATTTTTTCGTTTTCTCGTAGGTTTGGTGCATTAGTAGCCAAATAGATAGGCTAAAATTAGTATTTACTGGAGTAATTAGTTAGGCCTAATTGATTGTGTACCTAATTAAATCCCTTTAATTTATAAGCTTAGGCCCATGATCAACAAATCAACACTAGTTAGTAGTTACAAGAACTTATTAATTAAAATAAATTAAATTAATATGCAGCAAATTGGATGTCAACTTTATTTTTTATATATATATATTTATATTTTTTTAATTGTGCAAATAATTAACAGTCAGTTTATAAGACGTCACTAGTGACGCAATAAAAAAAAAGTCAACCCCTCACACCTCCAGCCAAACATGTAGTAATACTGTAATACCAATATTATTGTTCATTGAACTTCAAAAATTCTTTAAAAAATATAATTAAATTTAAGGCAAATTACGACAACCCCTGAGTTATGGTTAAATTACAAAAATTCTCTCTTGTTTGAGTAATTACAGTCACCCTATCAACTATGTATTATCTTACGAAAATACCCCTCCAAAGGTAAATTTAGGGGATATTAAATCGGATGAAACCGAACCGAAATTTCGGTACGCCAACATTTCATAACGTTTACCAAGCTGAATATACGACAAATAACCGAATTACATAAATTTTATGTAAAAATATTGAAAAGGAGATGGTTAACTGTAATTACGCAAACAAAAGAAAAAAAAATTCTTCATAATTTGACCACACAGGTGGTGGTAATTTGCCCTTAAATTTATAACTACAAATAAAAATTTATATACATGTCCAAATAACACACACACACACTCGAAATAACCCCACCCCCACTTGTATATATATACGCACACACACCCATTCAACCCCATTAATTTCCAAAGGTAGTAGTGAAGAAAATTTGTCCTTCAACTAAGATCTCTTCTTACAGAATACTAAGAAAACACAAAAAAACAGAAGTTGTTGAGATTCTGCTGCCATTTTTTTTTTGGGGGTGATAAATTTACTTGAAATTGAAATGGGTAATTCTGAAAAAATAGAGAAGAAAAACAAAAAGAAGAAGAAAATGAGGAGCGGCGAATCATTTAGGTCGATGTTCATGCATGCCGATGGTTGGGACATTTTTCTAATGTTCCTCGGCTTATGCGGCTCTGTCGGCGACGGTGTTTCCATGCCGGTTATGCTCTTAATCACCAGCAAACTCATGAACAGCTTCGGACACTCTCAATCTTCACTTGCTCTTGATTTCTCTCACAGCATCAACCAGGTTTTTTTTTTTTTTTTTTTTAAATAATTTCTTTGTTATTTATTTACTTTTTTAATGAAAAAAGGTTTTTTTTTTTTTTTAATGAATCTTTGTGTGTTTGGTTTTCAGAATGCGTTGGTACTTTGCTACATGGCATGTGTGCAGTGGGTGGCTTGTTTTCTTGGTATGTAATTTTCGTTAACTTTTTTTTTTTGTTTGATTGTTTGTTATGCCATAGTTGATTTAATTTAATTTCTTGGATTTTCTTACATATATATAAATTATATTTGGTTTTTTTGTTTATTCAATAGAGGGGTATTGTTGGACAAGAACAGCAGAGAGACAAGCTTCAAGATTAAGGACAAGGTACTTAAAAGCTGTAATGAGGCAAGATGTCGGCTACTTCGATTTACACGTCACTAGCACCGCCGAGGTTATCGAAAGCGTCTCGAGCGACAGCCTCGTTATTCAAGATGCCATTAGTGAAAAGGTTCAATCCAATAATAAATTGATTGATTGAGTTTTATGTTTACTTTCAAGAATGACGATTGTTAACGTTCTTGATTTTACAGGTTCCGGTTTTCGTGATGAACCTATCGACTTTCTTCGGTTCGTACCTAGTGGCGTTCGTATTATTGTGGAGATTAGCAATTGTGGGATTCCCATTTATAGTGTTTCTACTCATTCCGGGTTTAATGTACGGTAGAGCTCTTATGAGCATTGCGAGAAAAATCAGAGACGAGTATAATAAAGCCGGTGTAATTGTCGAACAAGCCCTTTCTTCTGTCCGAACGGTATATTCGTTTGCCGGAGAAAGCAAGACCATCGCCTTGTACTCTGCTGCACTTCAGGGGACAGTGAAATTAGGATTAAGACAAGGCTTAGCGAAAGGATTAGCCATTGGAAGCAACGGCATCGTATTTGCAATTTGGTCCTTCATGTCTTATTACGGTAGCAGATTGGTCATGTACCATAATGCTCAAGGCGGCACCGTTTTTGCCGTTGGTGCCGCAATTGCTATCGGTGGATTGTAAGGATTCTTGATTTTTTTTTATTTTTTTATTTTTTATTTTTTTGAGATTATATATAATAATTGTTGAAAAATGAAAACAAAAAACAGATCATTGGGTTCGGGTTTGTCGAACATGAAGTACTTCTCCGAAGCGAGTGCAGCTGCTGAACGAATAAAGGAAGTGATCAACAGGGTTCCGAAAATCGACTCGGACAATTTAGAAGGACAAATATTACAACACGTGTTAGGACAAGTCGAATTCAGACATACCGAATTTGCCTATCCATCACGCCCCGAAAGCTTAATCTTCCAAGATTTAAACCTAAAAATCCCGGCTGGAAAAACGGTGGCATTAGTGGGAGGAAGTGGATCGGGAAAATCAACGGTGATTGCTCTATTGCAGAGATTTTACGATCCAATCAGCGGTGAAATTCTTCTCGACGGGGTGGCTATCGATAAATTGCAGCTCAAATGGCTGAGGTCACAAATGGGATTGGTTAGTCAAGAACCGGCACTATTCGCCACCTCGATTAAAGAGAATATACTCTTCGGCAAAGAAGATGCTTCGATGGAAGAGGTTATAGATGCTGCCAAAGCTGCTAATGCTCATAACTTCATTACGCAGCTGCCTCAGGGTTACGACACTCAGGTAATAAATTCGTTTTCACTTTTACCCCTCGTTTCCGGAATTACGTCGTTACTTTACGAAGGTTGAAAGAACATTTATGCACTTTTTCAAAAATCATAGTGGGCTTATCTTGTTTGATGTTGTAAGAAGTGGCTTCCATACCAAGTGGTACCTTTTCGTTTGTCGTAAAGAATATCGAAGACTTACTGTTGTTTTGGATTTTATATGCTATATGCTTTGCACATTATATATATCAAAGTTCGAACACCACGACAAGTGGTGCGGGCGTGCCGTTCGAAAACTACCTGTCCTGATTTTTTTTTATAGCTTTTTTCGCAATGTACGGATGACTTTTTCGCCCGTCTTTTTAATGTTCTTACGATAATGGCGTCGCGTCAACTATTCTGGAATATATATATATATATATATATATATATATATATATATATATATATATATATATATATATATATATATATATATATATATATATATATATATATATATATATTGCATGTTGAATTTCCTTCCTCTAGAGATTTTCGTGGACTTTTATAATACTAGTAATCGAATTAACGAGCATGCCAAAACGGGGGTGTCGCCTTCTCTAGTCGGAATCTCGAGTTGTAATCTTCTTTTATAAAATGAGCTGTCTTTAAACCAAACTTATTTAATCATTGATCTACTTGATCATTAATTTGATCTTGTTGACTAAACGTGATCACGACTCGAGAAATTAATTTTATGCAAGAGAATTTCAAAAAAAGTATACCTTAATTATTTAATTATTCATTTTTATTGAAATATTGTACAATGTATCTGGATTTAGGTTGGGGAGAGAGGAGTACAGATGTCAGGAGGGCAGAAGCAGAGAATAGCAATAGCACGAGCCGTAATTAAGGCCCCCAAAATTCTCCTACTCGACGAAGCCACGAGCGCACTCGACTCGGAATCGGAACGAGTTGTCCAAGAAGCCCTCGACAAGGCGGCGGTTGGCCGCACCACCATCGTCATTGCCCACCGCCTCTCCACTGTCCGAAACGCTGATCTCATCGCCATCGTCCAAAACGGCCAGGTGGTGCAAATCGGCTCCCATGACGAGCTCATCTCGGACGATCGCTGCCTCTACACTTCCCTCATCCGCCTCCAACAAACCGAAGAATATCCCAAAGAATATTCCAATCCAATTAATATCGGACCACCATCATCCATTATCACAAATAACGACATCATACAAAACACGAGTAGTAGAAGGCTCTCATTGGTCAGCCGATCCAGCTCAGCAAACTCGGCGGCCCTACATAGCCGATTACCAGAAGTGACGATTTTGCCCCGCGAACAAGTTATTCGAACGCCTTCATTTAGAAGATTACTAGCCATGAACCTTCCGGAATGGAGGCAGGCAATACTAGGGTGCACATCTGCAATATTCTTCGGTGCTATTCAACCGCTGTACGCATTCGCAATGGGATCCATGATTTCGGTTTATTTTCTGAAAGACCACAACGTGATCAAGGAGAGGACGAAGATTTACTCATTGTCTTTTCTCGGTTTGGCGGTTTTTTCTCTCTTGATTAATATTTGCCAGCACTACAATTTTGCTGCAATGGGCGAAAAGTTGACGAAGAGAGTCAGAGAGAGAATGCTGTCCAAAATCCTCACATTCGAAATCGGGTGGTTCGATCAAGATGAGAATGCCACAGGTGCAGTGTGCTCGAGACTAGCCAAAGATGCCAATGTGGTAAAGTTCTATAACCATCTATCCTGGAAAAATCGAGTCAATTGCATTTAGTACCCCTGCATTTTACCGAATTGCTAAAAAAATTACGTTTCGATTGTCGAATACAGGTGAGATCTCTGGTAGGCGATCGGATGGCTCTGGTGATCCAGACGTTCTCTGCAGTGATCATAGCTTGCACAATGGGCCTCGCTATAGCGTGGAAACTCGCATTGGTAATGATAGCCGTACAACCCCTAATCATAGTTTGCTATTATTGCAAACGAGTCCTCCTAAAGAACATGTCGAAAAAATCAATGAAAGCTCAAGACGAAAGCAGCAAGCTCGCGGCAGAAGCCGTATCCAATCTCAGAACAGTCACCGCCTTCTCTTCGCAGGCCCGAATACTCAAAATGCTAGAAAAAGCCCAAGAAGGCCCGCAGAAGGAAAGCATACGACAATCTTGGTTCGCCGGAATCGGGCTCGGAACTTCTCAGAGCCTCATGACTTGCACATGGGCCCTCGATTTTTGGTACGGCGGGAAACTGATAGCGGAAGGGTTCATCGGAGCTCAGGCGTTGTTCCAGACGTTCATGATATTGGTGAGCACGGGCCGGGTCATTGCCGATGCCGGAACCATGACGAACGATCTTGCTAAAGGCTCCGATGCGGTGGGGTCCGTTTTCGCGGTTTTGGACCGTTACTCGTTGATTGAACCGGAGGATCCGGATGGGTTTAAACCCGAGAAGTTAACGGGTCGGGTCGAGATATGTGACATTCATTTTGCTTACCCGGCAAGACCCGACACGATGATATTTAAAGGGTTTTCGCTGGAAATTGAGGCGGGAAAATCGACGGCGCTCGTAGGGCAGAGTGGATCAGGGAAATCGACAATCGTAGCCCTAATCGAACGGTTCTACGATCCTGTACGAGGATCCGTGAAAATCGACGGAAGAGATGTGAAATCGTACCATTTGAGATCGATGAGGAAGCACATCGCGCTGGTGAGCCAGGAGCCGGCGCTCTTCGCCGGGACCGTGAGGGATAACATCGCGTACGGAGCGTCGGATGACGTCAGCGAAGCGGAGATCGTGGAGGCGGCGAAGGCGGCGAACGCGCACGATTTCATCGCGGGGTTGACGGACGGCTACGATTGCTTCTGCGGGGATAGAGGCGTGCAGCTCTCCGGCGGGCAGAAGCAGAGGATCGCAATCGCCCGGGCGATACTGAAGAATCCGGCGATTCTGCTGCTGGACGAGGCGACGAGCGCGTTGGACTCGCAGTCGGAGAAGGTGGTGCAGGACGCGCTGGAGCGCGTGATGGTGGGGAGGACGAGCGTGGTGGTGGCCCACAGGTTGAGTACTATACAGAACTGTGACGTCATCGCTGTCTTGGATAAGGGGAGAGTGGTGGAGAAAGGGACCCACTCTTCTTTGCTGGGTAAAGGGATTAATGGAGCTTATTATTCTCTTGTTAGTCTTCAGAGGGCGCCATCTGGCACTACTTAATTCCTAATTAATCACCTAATAATATAATTAAGGGCATATTACAAATAAGCCCATCAGTGGGAACTTATTCATAAAGAGATCCAGACAATATTCTCCTTTACCAATAAGTCCACACATGGTCCAGATTTATGTAAATGACTAAAATAACCCCTCTTACTTTAATATGCTCCAATTTCATCCTTAACTTACTTTAACTTCAATTTGACCCCAACTTTCACAAATTATTCAATTTTGACCCAAAACTTTTTTTTTTCACAAATTTTTTTTTTTTCAAAAACTTTTTTTTCCCGCCGGATTCCGGCGTTGACCGGCGGTCAACGCCGGTTTCCGGCGTTGACTTTTTAATTTTTTTTTTTTTTTTTTTCTTCCGGATTTTTTTTCCGGATTCCGGCGTTGACCGGTCAACGCCGGTCTCCGGCGTTGACTTTTTAATTTTTTTTTTTTTTTTTTTTTTTCTTCCGGATTTTTTTTCCGGATTCCGGCGGTCAACGCCGGTCTCCGGCGTTGACTTTTTAATTTTTTTTTTTTTTTTTCTGTAACTTTTTTTTCCGTTTAAACAGCAATATTGCTGTGAATGACAGTAATATTAACTATATTACTGTTAAACACAGTAAAATTAACTAAACTATAGTTTAACACATTGATATTGCTATATTAATCTCTAGCACATTAATATTAACACAACAAAATTCATTATTATTGTATAATAAAGTAATATTACTATATATGTTGTCCGTTCAACAAATGTAAACAAAATAAAAAAAACCAAAAGAATTAATATTACTGTGAGTGACAGTAATATTACTATAGCAACAGTAATATTACAATAGTAGACAGTAATATTATTACGTTACTCCGTGAATAACTCGAACAAACAAAAAATCCAAACAAAATAATAATATTGATGTGGTTGACAGGAATATTACTATAACAACAGTAATATTACCGTCAACCACAGTAATATTATTGTGTTTACAGTAATATTACAATAATAGACAGTAATATTAATACGTTACTCCGTGAATAACTCAAACAAAACAAACACC